ATACAACTTATTAGATATATTTGAATTATGCTTAACCTTCTATTTCGATTACATAATTAGTATTCTGTGTATTGCTATAATTGTTGATATTGACTATATGTAATTTTGATGTTGTATATGTGTTTTTGTATGGGGTAGGGCAACTTGTAAAAGTTCGTAGGGACCTGTTTTGCCCTCCCTTTCACTTTGTAACAATTTCTTAGCTTGACGTTGTACATTCGACAACTTGCAAAGTGACGCTATCCTGGATTTCGTGTTTTTAAATGCGAAATCCACAATAACATCTTTGATTTCTCAATGATTTTGATAATAAATTCGATAATTTTCTGTCGAAAATCTCTTATCAAAGACATTTAACCTATTCAGACCGGGATTTTTGGTCATGGTGGGACGAGAGATGGGAGAAGGGTTGTGTTGAGGGCTTTTGAGGACCGGTCCCTGTAATTCTACAACCACGTATCGTAGGGCCACTAAATTTTCGGGGAATGACGTAGTCTTAAAGCTAAATCATATAAACGACTTTGGTGTAATTTTGACGTCATTATAAGCCATTTTTGTGATTTTTGGAGCTAAAACAGTCAAATTGTTCCGTCAAACTCATAGGAATACAACCAATCTTTAACTAAAAGTGTCTATGAGAGGTTTATTAAGGTCTGCTAAGGTCTATGTTGCTCTGGCAACAACACAGATATCCTAATAACGTCATAAGATGAGACCATGCACATATAAGCTTGGATCGTCAATCTTGAATTTTTGAAATTGAATTTTGTCAAGGTTCAGGTGCTATCTGAGATCTGGAAAGCTTGCGCGGGCCTCAGAAGTCCCCCACCCCTCTGGTCTGAATAGGGTTAAAGCATTTTTATGTTTTTGCAAAGGGGGCCCTGGCTGGTTATTTCTCACTGAATTCAATATTTTATCCATATTCATGTCATTATATTTTGCACCATGATCCCAATGATCCATTGCTTGCTTCAATAATTACATTGCCCAGGGATCTCGACAAAAACACGGCACATACTAATATATAAATAAACAAGAGTTCCACGATCTCATACCTTCGCCAAATGATGTTAACCCTTGCGGGTGACGAATTATACAATTCTAATCATTGATTTTGTAAATAAGAGCCTCGTTTGCATGGATTATATCAGTTGATCATATTCTCCATCCAATGACAGCCTTATCATAACAAAAAGGCTATTATAGCACTTCCTCATAAATTATGCAAATGAGGTCATGATTTGAATTAATTATGTTTGATGTTCACCTTCACTTAACTTCCAAATGTGGCAAGTATGAAATTCACAGCAGTTACAACTATGGAATTATAAAAAAATTCCATTAATTATGCAAATTAGGTCCTCATTTACATAATCTATATCCTCAGATGTTTTTCTCGTTCTCAAGTAGATGTCACAAGTGTTTCATAGGTCTATTATCGAACAAAGCAGATTTATAGAATTTCCTCATTAATTATGCAAATTAGCTCCGGATATGCATAATTGCCATCTGATTATGTCAAGCATCACTTCAACTACCTACATACCAAAAATCACGACAATACGTCAACTGGTTCTTGAGTTATCGTCCTTCGAATTTTTTTCAACAAATGCTCCTGCAGTTCCAGAACAAGGGGCTAGGGGACCCAAACTCATGTCACATCTTCCCTACTCCAAGAGCTATCTATCAACCAAAATTCGTGACCCTAGCATGTCCAGAACATGAGATATCAAAACCGGAAGTTCAGCTGCAGTACCTAGGAAAGCCGCCAGGTGGCCCAAAATCTAATCATTTCTAGGTCTCATGAAGACCTACCCACCTACCAAGTTTCATTCCAATCCATCCACTGTGTCTCGAGTTATCTTGCTAAACCACACACACACACACAAACACACACACACACACACAAACGCTACTGAAAACATAACCTTCTTGGCGAAGGTAAAAAATACTTTTACAGACCAATCACGCGTCTGGCACTTTAAAGTTTACATACGGGCCAACTGCAAAGTACTGGAGAACACATGTACCAAACAGAGAAGGGCTTAAAACGTTTTACCCGGCATGGCTTCGTAGGTGTGGTCGGATGTACTTTCATCGTCGTCCGCACGTGCCTGGTAATCAGTCTGGTGTTGGTCGGCTGGTGTGGCACCTGTACAAAAATTATAATTCATTAACACTTTAACAGTCAGTTTAACGGCATGTCCTTGCCACAAACAAGAATCCGGCCAAAAATCCATTTTTTGGCGAAAAATGCCCCCCAAAAAAACCTTCATAAAAACCTTTCAAAGGCATGTTTAAAAAAA